TACTACACTATTTCCAGTCTATTTTTGCTTATTCAAATCCAGTGATTGCATTTACTCCCATTTTTTTATTAATTATACTTCTCCAAATTGGCTTCACTGCCATATCAATGACAAGAAATCACATGTGACTTTGGGTCATTACAGTTTCTTTCAGGGAAGAATGCAGTTCAAGTAGGTGCCTGAATCCCCGGAGCATGGTGCCTGGTGGTTTAATATCTCCACAATGAGAAATGTCACATGTATGCAAAAGGTTAAGTACAGATAAGGGACAGATTATTATCAGGACTGAACAAGGGAGGAATCTTCTAGTTTGACTCAGAGTCATTTGTGTTAATGATACAGTCCTCCAGGTGGCAGAGCATGGGAGCAGCAAATTTAGCAGGGCCTCTGACACTTGAGGCAGCTTTCACTGCTTGGCTGAACTCTTCCCTGGGCATTACAAAGGGTGTCACCTGTAATACTGGACAGACAAGTTTTTCTGCCTACTTTACAGGCCTGCCTTTGAAGACCTATAATATAATATAGGAGCCAATTATGTGATGGAGACTCCCGTTGATGCTGTATTCTCTTTCTCTTTCTGTAAGATGGGCCACCACTCTCTTTCTTCTTGGTGCAACAGGAGGTGGTGCGCTGCCCCTAAGGAGCATCCTTGTTTGGAAGTGGTTGGCTTTAATATAGGAGCCAATTATGTGATGGAGACTGCCGTTGATGCTGTATTCTCTTTCTCTTTCTGTAAGATGGGCCACCACTCTCTTTCTTCTTGGTGCAACAGGAGGTGGTGCATTAAGCTGCCCCTATATATTCATATTGATACGAGTTAATAAATGATGAATACCACAAATTAATTTGTAATACACAATGCAGATTATGATGGTGTGAAAGAACTATATCAGATGAGGCATTTCTATGGAAAAAAACTGTACTATTATTTTGCTGTTGCTGTTGTTTCTATGCTCATTCAGTAAAGATTTTTTTTAAAAAATGAAAGAAAAACCCACTCCTTTCAAGCAGTTTGAGAATACCCAAAGAAGCAGAAGTCAATAGAAATTCAGACTGGCTAAGTCACATCAGCAGACAGATGTGTTTGATGGCTCCAAAACAGAAACAAATGAGAAAACTACAGTGCATTTAAAAGATACTGGCTATACACTTGTGGCTTGGCTACCATCCTAAGTAGAACACTAGGTAGTTCTTGACAGTAGTAATAGGGCATTGGCTTGGCTACCATCCTAAGTAGAACACTAAGTAGTTCTTGACAGTAGTAATAGGGCATAGCATTCATCAAATCAACATTTTGACAGCTACAACGGCCCTGTAAGGTGGGACATAAGGGTCAAGGATCGACTTCCAGGGTCAAAGGTCAACCCTGGCCCCTACTGGCGGAAGTGGTGGGTTGAGGGTGACATCAGGGGCTGTAGAGGTCACCGTGGACCTAGAGGAGGTTTACCTAGAGGTGGGGGTCCTCCGTGACCCAAGGGAGGCCTGAGCATTGGCTCCCAAAGGTTAGGGGCTGGCCTGCATCCCT